TTATAACGTTAAAAGTTCCTTGGTCTCCGTTTGATAAAATTGTAAGATTTAGTTCCCTTGATTGAATAAAGATATTATTAATTTTTTCTTTTTACTCTTTTTGCTACGTGTAACGCGTCACGCTCCTATGACATGCTTAGTGCGTTCTTCACCAATAGTTTTTGTGGACATGCGTTGGGAGGGGGGGGGGTCACTTGGAGAATGAAATCGACGTCTAGATCTCATTTAGATTTCAATTATTCTTACCATAACTTGATAGATTTAGTCTATGCATTACACTAGCTTTACCCACCGTTAAACCCTTTGATTTGTTCCCCGATCTATCACAATATTGTTATAAACCTGGTGGTGGCACAGATTGGGGTAGTGGTGTGTATGTAGTCAGCCGACGCAAATCGCCCCAGGCCAGCGCTAGACGAGCGTCAACCGTGACGAGTTACAACGGTCAGCCGAGTCGAGTGTCAACAGGACGGTTCGGGAAGGATCGCCGTCGTGAACAGAGCTCAGGAGCGTCACGAGAGTAGTAGTCATCTGACCACCTAGAAACGTCGAGCGGCGTTCTGTTAGGTTCGAGAAGGCCAGTAGGGACCCTATATAAGAGCGGAGGTGTCGCAGTCAAGACGGTTCACGAAAGGAGGTTCACGACAAGAGTTCAGAACACGCTCAACTACAGCACAGTTCAACGGTGTGGTTCTGTACGAAGCATTACGACGGTTCAGTGCGGAGCACTGTCAAGTACAGTTGAGACGACTGGCGTCTTGATCTTGGTCTGCGATCGAGTCAGACACAACGAGCCTAGTGTGTGAAGTCAGTCCTGAACTGTTGAACCCAGTGCAAGCCCGGAACGAGACGGAGAGGCCAGTGCAAGAGTTGATACGGCGGTACGGTGTTATCGGAGAGATATTTGTACAGTGTACGTGTTGCCAATTGCACAGTATTGGCTGTTAATTATTCAACTATTAAAGTGTTACGTTACTTTGGAGCCCTGAGTTGTCAAGTTCTTTAAGTTGGTGGTGTATGGTGCAGTTTGCAGAGAGCCTGGATAGGGAGATTCGTAACAATATACTCTCACTTCAAAAACATATATCAACTCATTCCGTCTGTCTGTATGGTACAAACTGTGTACACGTTATTTCTCCCACACCCATTCTCGGATCAAGTTGAAAACTTTGCACAATTATTCAATTTAAGAAAAGCAACCAATTAGTCAATTAATTGTTGGTAACTAATTATTTTGTTTTATACCAATAAGGGATACTAATCCTTCAGTATTCACATGTATGGCCAAATTTGATGGGTTTAGTCCCCTTAAATAATTGTTTACGCTATTTCTCTCTCATGCATTCTCCGATAAAGTTGATATTTTAAACAATTATTTATTTTACCTAACAAGACATGAATCAATAAAAGAAAAATACCAAATTAGTCAATTAATTTTTTGTAATTAATTATTTTAATATCTAATACGGGAAATAACTTATACATTATTTGTGGGTATAGTGTCAGGGGTGGAGCTCTTCTACTTTATATAGGCTTTTTTTTTTTAAATAAGTTTTTCATATTTTGCTTGTTTGAATATTCCAAGATTTTAAATAACCTGTTCTTTTAAGTTCAGACAATGAGCCCATAAATCCTAGCATCACTGGTACTCGTGCTGTGCTACGTTACAATGGTTGATATGTTGTTTAGTATGGCCAGAACTCCTCCACTTTCACTATGTATTGTTGCATTTACTACATCTAGCTCTGTCATTCCTTGTTCAATCTAATGCCTGACAGCCATTAAATATTAATTTAATCTAGATTACGGTCTAGTTCAGTGGTTCCCAAACGTTTTTGTCTCGTAGAACCCTTGCCAAGTTTTCTGTTGTTTTTTTTTGTAGACCCCTGCTTAACTTGAATTGTATTTTTGCCAATTCATCATTTTTTAAAAAACTAATTTCTACCATTAGTGAGTTGAAGAGTAAAAAGTAAGATGAAGCTACAAATTAAGCTATAGAGATCTATCTTTTTTATTGATAAAATTCAAATTTAAACCAATTAAAATAACAATTAATATGTTTTGTTGGATTCATCAAACACACTGGAATTTTTTTCCAGGCTTTTTATCCGTTGTTACGGATATTAAGTTTCATATGGAAATTTGTTGTCGTAGTCCTTCAAACAATGAATATCAATTAATTAATTTGCCTTAAGTATCATTGTACAAGTTTTCGCAAAGAGCAGTTTCTCGTGTATTTCTTGATCTTTCACGTGTGGCACAAATAGTAGTCCGCGGAACTGTTGTCACTAAGGGAGAAGGCGAGTAACTTGCTTCTAAACTAGTAAGCTTTGAGCCTTGGTTTGCTACCCACTTGAATTCAAAACTCGATTGCCTTGTAACTATACCAAGACATGGGAAAGGTTTCGAGAGTCGACCTTGAGGAAAAATTAGGATCCGGCGAACTTTATGCAGTTTGCAGCACACAGCGCTACATCCTGTCAGAGCCTGCGACGCCGCTGATACAAAACTGTATATATGTCGTTTGCAAAGAATTATAAGAAGTTTTTAATTTTATAACTCATGCCACCGAAGTGTCCTTGAACTGTATTATTGCTTAAAGAAATTCTTGAAATAATATCAGAGTAGGTTTATGTAAAACTTTTAAAACTACAACGGCTGGTAAAATCAATGTTTTATATATTAGTGTTTCCGTAATTGCTATAAGTAAAGAGATATTGTAAGACTCTCACAAACCATCATCTTCTTTTATGTAATATTGGAAAGATTTTGTGGTTCTACTCTATATGTTTAAGTGTTCGAAAGTTTTTCAAACCTTTATCTATTTTGTCAGGGTGGCATCGTCTCAAATGATCTTCCAGCGTAATTCCTTTCATATTGTCATAAAAAGGCACTTAGGCAACCGCTTGTTTGACAATGAAAGGAATGAATCCCAATTTTAAATAATTATTGCTGTACAGTCTACATTTTTGTATGTTAAACAATAGTTACATGTAGACAAAATTAAGCTCTTTAAATAAGTATTGGAATTAAATACAACAATTTTTCAAATGAATTAGCAGGGATAAATATGTAAAAGCTTAACTAAGATACAAATCATATTTATATATTAGTGTATGAAGTAATTATATTAATGAGTTGCAATAACAGAAGTCACGATATACCTAAATAAAATCTATAATCGTAGACCCCTGTGGACCGCCAATTTATTTTTTCACTTTCGTAGACCCTTGGAGGTCTTCGTAGACCCCTAGGGGTCTATATAGACCATTTAGGTAATCACTAGTCTAGATCTAAATAATATAACGCCGTTAAAGAACACAATGTAGTCCTAATAATGTATCCAGGCTACGGTCTCAGGCCTGGCCTTACAAATTTGCGAGCCCAATTTAATGGATGCATGTGAGATAAATTAGCAACACGAAAACAAAATTCTTGACCTACTTTAGGTAGTGAGCTAGCTAGAAATGGCATGACAGACTTGGACAAGACTTTCCCCTCGCAAAAAAAAAAAAAAGAAAGAAAAAATATTAATAACTCCATTGCCATTTGCCATACAAACCAGATCTCGATCTAGATAGAATTGATTTCTTGAATCTAGAACTAGATTTAGATCCAGACTTAGAACTAGGTCTAAGTCTAGATCTAGAACAAGATCTAGATGTAAGTCTAGATCTAGAATTAGATATAGAACTAGAACTAGATCTAGAATCTTGATATAGAATCTAACTAGATCTAGAACTAGAATATAGAACTATAGAATATAGATCTAGACTAGAATTCGTATGATGTTATGTCGTTCAATCTTAAAATTACTAGACCTAGGCCAATGTTATGATCAGGAATAGTAGGCCCTTTGGTACAGGGTAATGGGGTAAATCTACTATGGCAGACTATTCTGTTTCGTATCTGATTCACTTCTTAATTAGATTCTACTGTTTACATAATAAATAAATCTGCACCCCTAAGCTGCCAGTAGATAAGTTATTGCCTTAATATTTTTTTTTCAAATGATTAATACATTTATAATATATATTATAAATATATCTAGATCTGGACTTTATTTAGTTTTATTTAGACTGTCAAGTATATAATGACGATATGCAAAAACTGCGCTCTATAAAAGTAGTTTGTTATTTTTCAAACTTATAACGAAAACAAAGCTCGTATCAAAATTCTATTTTTAAAACCAACATTTGAATACGTATTCCATTTAATGAGTTATTTAATAAATGGAAAATATATTTCATCAAGATCCATTGACACTTTTTCCACATTTTTGTACCAATACGTGAATCTATGAATGAAGCTTGAGTTATTAATGAAAAAGTCTGTGACTTTTTAAAAAAACTTACTTCCCCTGAAGTTTTTCATTAAAAAGTGGTGTATTTTTTTTTTTTTTGAAAAATCTGCTTGCATGGATAATTTTAAAAATTAGATGATGCATTTTCGGAAAAGAATAATTAGCCGTTGTACCAGAACTTTGAATGATCTAAAATATCATGATGTCCTATTTTCATTTTCTCTTCTAGTTTCTGAGCTCTAAACTGGACGGACGGACGGACAGACAAACCAAACAAAACTAAAAGCGTCTTTTCTCCTTTCGCGGGCAGCTGAAAATTCTTATAAAACCAACGTGTAGTACGTACAATAAGATATACATTTAAGCGTCTTGAGATGCATAATATGCAAAAAAGAATGTAGCCACTGGGGCGAGGCCGAGACCATACGATACAGAAGGCCTCAAATGAACTGCGAAATCGTAGCATGTGGACAAATAAGACTAATAGCTCATTGCCACGTCAAAGGTCCGTGGTGGACAAACTGATAGTTTTCTGAGAAAAACCAATATGATTTTTAAAAAGTTGCCTTTTTTCAATCACCTGAGGCAAGATGCATTATCTTTAAAAGTTTTAAAACATTAAATAGCAAGTAAAAAAAAATGATTTGATTTTCCTATTCAGGAAGAGAAAGGTGACAAGAAGTCGTTGTCAGTAGTGACTTAAATCATGGGGAAAAGATTTCTGAGCAACAAAATATTAAATCTTCTGAAATTGTTCAAGCTCTATGCTTTCATCCTACCACAGGAACAGGCAGAGATATTACAAGAAGAGGTAGAGTTGGAGAAATCTGTAAAAACAATTTGCGAGGCTCTTTTTCAAGTTGCTACTTTTGCAGTGGCACTGATTTAGAAAAAAAGATTTGTAAGTGCGAAATGGTAGAAGAGTTGGAACATCTTTCAAGAATCGTTTCATCAGGTTGGCGTTACTTACTGTGACAAGTCAAAAGCTTGCTGTCAGAGTCACTCAATTTTATCACAGCATTAACTATTATTATTTATTATTTATTTATTTTATTTTAATTATTTCCCCGTTCTATCCCCAATTCTTCACCCGCCCCACCTTTTCCTTGGCGGCTTTTCACTTATCTTCCCTTGACCAGGGTAAAGATAAACACACAGTCTCTTTGATCTTACCTGCCGGATGTCTGACGGCCGCAGTTGACACCACCTTAGGGTGGAATGCAAACCAATCTTTCTTCCCTCCCCCTTCTCTCCCACGTCTCTTTTTGATCAAAGAGATTACTCGGGTCAACACTCAATTGTCTATTTGGCTCTACTACTTATTAGGTACGACGTCCCTATAGACCCAGAGTCTGTGCGAGACGTCATAGCTACGCCAAACCCTCCGCAACCCACTGGACTTATCCTGTTAACTACGCTGCCCACGGCAGATCAGCTCTGCCCGCAGTACCCTTGTGCCCACGGTAGCCGGCCACCCGCCCTACTATGCCCACTACAGATATCAGAACTTTGGATTGAGACTCCACAAGAACTGTATCATCGGCGTCCCTCGCACAGACGCGTGGTCTATAGGGACGTCGTACCTAATAAGTTGACAGGTGGGCTGTCGAATAGGCAGGCGAGTAGAGCCGATAGCGTCAAGTAGTAGAGCCAAATAGACAATTGAGTAGGTTGACGAGTGGCTGTCAAACAATGCCGAATAAATAGGCAGGTGATCCAAACAAATAGGCAGGAGTGCAGTGCTGAATAGAACTAAGTACATAGGCAGACACCTGAGAGAGGCGCCAGGTATTCCTCTAAGAGTAAGAATAAATGAAATAGTCCAGACTTGATTGCCAGCGAGAGAGAAATGAGCGGGTCTGGTTTGACTTAGTCAACCTTATAAAGGTCCGGGAGAGGTGGACGGAAACAGGAAATGTCCTAGGCTAAAGACTATCTCTCACGTGGGTGAATTTGACTCGAGATGGGAGTCGCACTTGGAGTGTCGAGGGGTGCGTTGATTCGAGTGATCTCTTTGATCAAAGAGAGACATGTGAGAAGGGGGGGGGGGGTAGAGTGATTTGTATCCCACCCAAGGTGGAGTCAACTGCGACCGTCAGACATCCGGCGGGTAAGACCAAAGAGACTGTGTGTTTATCTTTCCCCGATCAAGGGAAGATAAGTGAAAGCCGTGGCCTAGTTATCTCCAAGGTGGTGGACTAAGTCTAGGGAGAAGAGGAAAAGGGTGTGGTTGGTAGGGAAAAAAAGGACTAAAATGAGAAATGATTATAATAAAGTAAATAAATAATAAATAATAATAATTAATGCTGTGATAAAATTGAGTGACTCTGACGACAAGCTTTTGACTTGCCACATTCATCAATACCTGCCTGAGGAAGATACTTATGATCCGTTGCCCAGACAAGATCTCGAATGAGGAACTGTGGCAAAGAACAAAACAGCAGCCCATTGAAGTAGATATCCTTCACAGACGCTGGAGATGGATAGGTCACAGCATTTGCAAGCCTGCATCCAACGTAACAAGGCAAGCCCTAGCCTGGAATCCCCAATGAAAGAGGAAGAAAGGACAACCCAAGAATATATGGCACCGCAATTTGGAAGCAGAGGCCAAGAAGATGGGCAAGAAGTGGGGCAGTTTGCGAGACTTGCCCCAGAACTGAGACGCCTGGAGCAATCTGTTTGGAGGCCTTTGCCCCAGACGGAACCACAGGCAGAGATGATGCGAGAGAGATGTGTAAACATGCATTGTTTATTATTTGTTCAATTAAGTAATTATCGCTTTTCAACTAGTTTTTTTTAAAACTATACATAATGCTATTTACATCTATATATATATATATGTATATGTATATCATCTCACTCTGTCTGTCTGGTAAAAAAGTTCGAATTTTTTTCTCCCATTCTCGGATCAAGTTGAAATTGGCACAATTATTAATTTTGTTTGACAAAACATGAATGAATAAAAAAAATTAACCAATTAATTAATTATTGGTAATAATGACAGATGTGGACGTATATACGGATTTATTCCTTTTATATCGTTTTGTCACTTTTTTCTTTTCCTTGCCATTCTCGGAAAAAAATGAAATTTTGAATAAAATTATTCATAGTCAATAACAATCAAATAATTAACCAATTAGTCAGTCAATGGCCGATATTGTTAGACACGTTTAGTTTCTTTGATCAAAACTAAAATGGGCCTGAAGTTATTTTTATATTTTCCAGTTCTCATTTGAAATGAAACTATTATTATTTGGCTGTGAGTTTAAGTGTAAATGATAGAGAAAGAAATTCTGAAAAAAAAAACGAAAATTGAAACAGGCTATATAAAGAAAAGACCTGAAATAAGGCATGTGAAACAACACATTTTCAGTACTCTCTTTGACGAGTCTTTTACCCAAGATCTGTGTATTTTTTTTGGACTAGCTTATTTTAACCGTCATTTTCCGATACACTTTTCAGACACACATACACACAAATGAAAAAATAAAATGTTTTAACCAGAGCATTTATAAAGTTAAACTATATAACTAAAGACCTAACTAACTGTTTCTAGGTTTTCACATTTTGATGATAACAGCAGTATGAAGAAAAGTATGAACCGGAATCAAAGTCATTAGTACTCAGTTTGATGCTCCTTATCACTTGATGCCCCGTGCGCCCGCACCACCGCTTGTGGCTAGCTACGCCTCTGACTTGGTTTCATTTCTTTTCAGGCTAGATGACGAATAGACTTTTGTTGCAACTCTGCCCAATGAAATTTATTCTCACTGCCACCTGGACATATATAAAATTATCTTATTACTCATTTGTTTAGAAACACGTGAGATTTTTCCTTTAACAGAAATGTTGTTGCGTGTACGGGCTAGTGTGAATGTGTGCAAACTAAATTGTATGCGTATTTCAATGGAAAAAAACAAAACAAATGTTTTATTATTCTAGAACTTTCTAAACAAAGTCTAGTCAGAGTACGTATGTCTGTACTGGACACGACAAAGTCTAGTCAGAGTACGTATGTCTGTACTGGACACGACAAAGTCTAGTCAGAGTACGTATGTCTGTATTGGGCTACGACAAAGTCTAGTCAGAGTACGTATGTCTGTACAAAGAGAGGTTGAGGAAAGGATCGTCCTTTCAAACTTTTCCCACCAAATATGAATAGCAAAGTGTTGTGACATCAAGAGCTTGGGCTGACGGGAAAAGTTCAAAAAGACATCAATGCAATTGATATGTAGCGCTATACTGATTCATCAGAACTGACCATGAAAATATCAATTTGTGTGTGTTATTTTAGTGCTTCCTTTATGGTGAAAAAATGTATTAAAAATCAAAGTAAAAAAAACAACAACACAAATAAATCATTAACATTAAACAAAAATCTGACCTCAATATCATCTGACCTATAGATCGAAAGGTCTGAAAGGGGAACTGAACAAAAAACTGATTCACTTTAAAATGTGGATGAAAAATTAACAACATAAGTACTAGTAGACAAAAAGTACTTTTATTGCTTAAATCATTTGTTTCTTTTCTTTTAAAATTCGTACAACTTTTCCATTGAATTAATTTAAAAAAATCTTAACAATCTTTCAATGCGCTATTAGAAAAAAAAGTAACTAATATTATAGACAAAGTCTTAAGGATCGCAGCACACAAAATGTGACATACTGACTAGTCTATGATCTGTCTACATCTGCATAGATATACCATATCGTAGAATGTTTTCTTGAACTTTGAACTCATGTTAAAATAAATAAATATACTGACACAAGAGTTGATAGACTCCAAGAAGAGGGTCAGAGTTCCAGTGATGAAGAGAATATTTTGTTCTCGGCGTCCCACATTAAAGTCCGGCACCACGATGGCTGTCATCGTTGTGGTGATACCAGGGGCGTAGCACACGATGAAGACAACAGAGACGATGGCCACCATCTTGATCGCTTTTCTGTCTTTAACGCTAAGCGTTTCTCTCTCTTTCATCTCTTCATTTTGTGCCACGGAATCACCTGATATGGATCTGCGCCATTTCGCCTTTCTGATCAAGTTGATGATAAGTATGACCGTAAAAATAAACAAGGCGACGAAGATTCCCGGAACCAGGAAGACCGTGTTGATGCCAAATGATATGCTATCGACAAGTGAGCGGTCATCTGTGTAGACCATTTGAAGAACGATTCGGTGTGAGACTGGATCTGGAACCCAGGCCATCCTGCTCGTGTAGAAGACTGGGACGGTACTCATGGTCATGATGAGTGTGATTACCGCCAGCAAGACATACGTCCTCCTTAAAGTAATGATTCTCTTCACCTTCAAAGGCGTGGCTATACACAGACACCTCTCAAAGGACACAAAGGTCGTCATCCCACTGGAAACGCGGGAAAACGCAATATGCGTCCAGCCGATGATGTAGGACAGGTCAAACGTGTTGACCGGGTAGCCCGCCTCGGTGATCAGGGGGCTGAAGCAGAGGCCGACGCCAAACATGGTGATGGTCACACCAACGTCGACGATGGACAAGGCAAAGAAGGTAACAGTGACTGTGTCTGTGAGCCCTTGCCTGAAAAAGACCACTACGTTGAGGATGTTGGTCAGTGCACCTAACGAACAGATCAATCCCGTCAGAATAGACAGTGTGACACCGTAGATGTGAAGGTCAGAGTCACTCGCAATACCGTGATCTAAAGACACATTTCCCATGGTAGTGATAGACAATGTCCTGTAAAAGTAATCACTCAGTAAATATTGTTAAAGATAAAATAACTAAATACAACAAGAAAAACAAACAAAAAAAAAACTTAAAAAAACAAAAAAAAAAACTACAAAGTGTATGCGAAGTGTAATGTACCAATTAGTTTGAATCAGTCATGTAATTAAATGTGCAATAGATTTAGACCAACAACAATACAGC